CCCTGAAACCCACAGCGTCCCTTTTCAGCAGGAAGTAGCTAAGAGAATACGCCGTCCCCTTTTCCTTATGACTCAGGGTGAAGTCTCTCTCAGGGAGGAGTGATAGGGAATGGCAAAGGACACACTGACAAAGAAGATTAATCAGAACTGGCTTTGACAAGCACTGTGGCATTTGGACAAGAACAAACTGGGAGGAGGGTAGAGAGAATAGTGCAACAATGAATGAATGGAAACCCAAAATCTCTGTAAATGTTTATGAAAATTAATAAAATATAGAAAAACAAAACAAAACAAAAAAAAAGAGTGCTTACTTAGGAGCCGAGCAAACTGTAATTGCTAACAACCTCAATCTCTTCTCCATCCATCATGGTGCTGCCTATTGGCCCAGTGATGAGACAAAGTTCCACCATCTTTGCCTCCAAGAGACATCCTGATGGCCCTTCTAAGATTTGTTTTGGCTCTCTACGGGATATTCAACATTCTTCTTCAACACAATTCAAAGGCACTGACTCTTCTTTGATCTTATTTTTTGTCCAATTTTCAGATGCCTAGGAAGCAACTGAAGACAGACCATAACTTGGATCAGATACACCTTAGTTTTTAAACTGACATCTTTGTTCTTCAGTACTTTAAAGGGCTTCTTAATAGCAGAATTCCCCAATGAAATACATCTTTAGATTTCTTGACTGCTATTGCCATAGATGTTGATTGTGGATTCAAGTGAAATAACTGAACAACTCCAATCTTCTGGCCATTTACCATGGCCCTGTTGGTTCTACTGGTCCATTGGGGAGGATTCTTTCCTTGATGTTTAGATGTAAATCAGCTTGAAGGCTGTAGTCCTTGATCTTCTGCAGCAAGTATTTCAAGTTTTCTTCACTTTTTGCAAGCAAGGTTGTGCCATCTGCATAATGTATGCTTGTTATACATCCTAGGATACTAAAAAAACAGTTGCATCTTGATAAATACAGTACATTTTACAAAGTCACATTATAGCATCACCATTATAGCTTCACCTTATACTCAATGTTTCATCATATACCTACCATGTGCTTATTTCACAGCATTCAACAGAGGCAGGACAACAGAAAAGGCCAAACATGTGGCACTTCATTGGAACCTAGAGAAAACGATCCAGTGCTGGTACTGAGGAGGGCAGATGGTAACCTGCACGGGCCACGTCTGGTTTGTTCACTGATACGCAATGCTTAGCACACGGCCTGGCATCTAGGAAGCAGATGATCTAGGAGTGGTTGGATGACTAATCCTGGACACAGCTAACTCAGCTCTGCTTTGAATTTTTTTTGCAGATGGCACAAAAGTCAACAGAATAGCAGTTAAGTTTTTCCATTCAATTAGAATCCTGCCTAATTAACTGATCAATTAAACGAATATATACTGAGTAACTGTTATGACCAACCATAAATGGATCACTCAGGATTGAGAGCCACGAGGAAAAGTCCGGAGAGGTTAGCACATTCTTTCCCCTCTCCCACCCTGGCCTGTACTGTATAGCTTGGGAGGAATAAGGAGAGTGGAGTTTTCAAGAAGACTATTTACTTCAATTCAGTGGAAGAGGTGGGAAATAAAGAAAAAGTGACCTCACCCCCGCAAGAAAGTTTACTTAGGGAGGGCATAAACAGAGCTATTAAATTTAAATAGGAAATTATAACATTCTATTTGACTGAGATATTGTGGTATATTGACCCAAAACATTTAATTCATTCTAAAAGGTTATTGCAATTTACTGTTACAACAGGATGACCATTTTAATTTTCAGTTAACACAATATGACATATGCTTCTGTAGGGTCTCAACCCTAGGAAATGTTCTTTGGGGCCTGATGGAGACAGAAGTGCTAAGTCACAAAGAAGTCTGACCTGCAAACTGGAGTCCAGCTTCTTCCTGCATCAGGTCAATTACATTTCCCAGAAAGACACAAACAAAATCCAAGAGTTGTTTTTCTTAAAAATAATTTCAATTTAATTTCTTCTTTTATATAAAAAGACAACAAATTACATTTCAGAGATTCTGTTTAGGTTATGAGGTTCCCGTCAGAGCTGTTTTGCAACATGTGTTTACATAATGTGAAGTGAGGGTGGCAGTTGACTGTAAAACTGGTGCCAGTCAGGCCAGATTGTGTACACGTGGGGGGCTTAATTTCACTTTGGAGCACAAACTAATGCAACATGCTATTGTCTAGGTGTCAATCAAATTTGGATTTGCTTCTGGACACTCAAAGTAGGGGGCAACTGTGCAGGAAAACACACACACACACAGAGATTCTAAAAAGCAATAGGTCAGTGATACGTAAGGAAAATGTGTTGGTGTACATTTTACACAGTATGTTCTGCTTTTACCAATGAGCTCAAACATCTGACATTTAAAAAATTAATATTAAATAAATCCATCTTAGGAGAAAATACAGCACAGAACTTTCCTGTTTGCACTGCCCAATATGTTATTCATTATTTCTCTCATTAATCAGTTGTGCTTTGCTGCCCAAGAGTCAGACACAAAGGCAAAGTGTATTAAAATACAAAGAAAGTAATAAAGAGCATACAGAAGTAGTTAGAGATATTGCATAAAACTTATTTTTGAGGACATTTGTAAAAATGAAAGCACTGACTTAACACGATTCAAGCTGTGACTGTATCAAGCAGTTTAACACTGAATGCACCAAGTAGTTCAACATTCTGGACAGTTATCAGAGGTGCTAGAGGATGGGCCTTTGCTGCTTTCCTTCTCTGGTGGCCTAGTGGTAAGGTGTTGTCCTATCAAGCCAAAGGCAAGTGGTTCGAATCCACCAGCTGCTCCTCAGGAAAAAGATGGCCAATCTCCTTCCCTCTCCCATGATTTACAACCTCTGAAATCTGCCAGAGGGTCAGCTACAAATCAGTCCTGATTTGAGGTCACAGAACAAGAACAAAGTTTTACTTCTCTTGACCAGATCTTCCTGAGGGTTCCACCTGGAAGGGATCTATTGTTTCTCCCTCTCCCTCCCTTTCCAAAATATATTGCCCTGTTCTATAATTAATTATGTATTATAATTCCTTTACCTAATAAACAGTTACTTAAGAATACGAATGATGTCTTAGAAAATTTTTGTCTTTAATTTTTGTAGTTTAAGCAATTATCTATTTATGTCATTGTTGTTAGGTGCCATTGAGTCAAGTACAATTCACAGCGACCCTAGGAACAACAGATGTGAGCCATCTCCCGTCCTGCACCATCCCCATCATCTCTGACACACCTGAGCCCACCGCTGCGGTCACTGTGTCAGTCCATCTCATTGAGGGTCTTCCTCTCTTTTGTTGATCCTCCACCTTTCCAAGCATGATGTCCCTTTCCACGGAACAGGAGAGCAACATACTCTCTCCTAGCAAGATGACCAGAGTATGTGAGATGACGCTTTGCCTTCAAGGAGCACTCCGGCTGCATCCTCCTCAAGACATATCTGTTTGTTCTTTTAGTTGTCCATGGGATGTTGAGTGCTCTTCTCCAGCACCACAGCTCAAAGGCATCAATTCTCCTGTCATCCTTATTCATTGCCCCATGAAGATATTATAAAAATTATTTATTGAGATGAACAAATCAAAACATGAATAAAAATTTCCCTACATGAACTTGAAGTGGAAACAGAAAATTCTTCTATTTCTATGCTGCATATCTGCTGCTTCATTCCATTTGCAAAATATGTTTCAGGCAAATAAAGTGATTATGCCTACACCTCAATTACAATTCCTTTATAATCAGACATTTCCCATTTATGACAATGGTAGGTGCAAGGCGGGACTAACACTGGCTGTGGTGGGTAAGGTTATGTGTCGACTGCTGGGTCATAATTCTCAGGGGTTTGGCAGGCAGTTATATAATGATACATATCATTTGGTAAGTAGGTAAAGATGTAGTTGCTCCTCAACTTTGAATAAAACCCATTTCTGCATAACTACTGGTCTTTAGAATGTAATAAAATGGTAAAGTCAGAAGTTGGCATAGTTCTCTTTAATAATGTCTTTTTTTAATGGATAGGTTTCAAGATGATAAAAATGAATCTGGATGATAATTCGCAGACATTAACCTTAGTTCCATTTTCTTAATTCTATCTGGTTTAGTATTAGCACCTAGAGGCTTTCTAAGAAAATTTGTGCTAAACATAACCCATTTTTAACTTTGTAATGTCCTCAGTTGTGCAGTAAATAAGATAACTTTAGAACAACTAAGGTTTAACCACATCAAGGGGGAAAATCCCCCCAACAACGTCCAAACATAATTTAGTTCAAAATTCAAAGCAATGATGAGAGAAAAGAACATCTAAGGTTAACAGTTATGTAATAAGAAGTGTGTTCACATCTGATCACTGTATTGCATGAGCCAGCATGCAAACATGCAAACACACACAGACACACACACACACACACACACACACACACACACTTCTCTGACCATGCCAAGTAACAGGTCAAAAGCGAAAAGAGTATCATTGAAAGAAATTTAAAAAGGTAAAGTCATTCAACAGAAGTCTAACATGGGGTTCTTCAGCTTTAAAACGGTCAAGTAAATAAAACAAAGCTCCATATTGCTTTTTAGTCTAGTAAAGCATTCGTTGAAAAATTCATCATGAGGCAAAATTCTGCTGTCCATGTATAAGAACGTTCAAGGGCATTATTAAATTAAACTGAACATTGTGAAACAACAAACAGAAACCAGATCTGGCAATATGTTGCAGGGACATATTGTGAATCTTTACTGTGGCCAAAATAAACTCCTACCTTCAATGGCCAAAAGAAAAATAGAGCACGATTTTTTCGTAAGACACGTACTTCTGCTCTGCAGAGAAACTGATGAGCTAAATGTTCTGAGAAATGTGAAAGACTAAGATCCTCCTTATCACCGCCCCCCCCAGCCCTTCTACTTTAAGAAAGATCCTTATTAATGGATTGCTTTTCCCCTTGCTTTCAAGTTAATGTAGGACAACACTTAGAATTACAATAACAACAGCATTTACAAGTGAATATATGTGGCACTGTTGTCAAAGCACAAAATACCATGAAAGATCTGGGAAAAACTAGAACAAATCACATAAAAAACTGAGCAATCAGGTTAGCCAAGCCTAAAATGATGATGAAAGCGTGAAAGATTAATTTAGGCCACGTCAGCCGATCTTCTTGGTAGAGGGAAATGATATAGATGAGAGACGGGTAGATGAACACAAAGGCCAGGCCACACACTGCTCCTGAGTATCTGCAAAAGAAAAGCTTTTGGGTTAACAATCTTTCTTCTTCTATATTTTTATTTTAATAATTTAGTTTTATTGACTTGCTATTTTTTTTACACCAAAATTTTCCATTCTTATTGGATTTTTCTTTCCTGATTTACCACAGTATACATAGCACACTCTTCAGTCTGATATTTCAACAGCATTAATTTGGATTTGTGTTGATAAGAAAGCATTTTGGCTTAAACCATATTTCACTTGCTAACTAAGGAATAGAATATACTATTTCCTGTTCATCTTTACAGCATCTGCTCGACAATGAGTTTTTCATTCCTCCGTCAAACCTCCATATTTCCTCTGTATCTCAGGGATGGTGGCCACTTCCTCTGGAACATGTGGTGATTTGCTTCCTATCTTTGATCATTTACAAACAAATTATGCATTCTGAGTTTTTGAGGGACTGTTAGCATCTGTTTAAGAATGAGAACAGATGAATGTTTCAGTGATGGTTCAGTATAATTACCAACGATTATACCAAAAAGATCTAACCCTGGAACTGCGTCAAAGAAGAGTACACTCTTCTGTTCTCTATCCTTGGGTTCTTTTGAAGAACAGCTAAATTATTGTTGTTAGGTACCACTGAGTCAGAACTGACTCTTAGCTGACCCTCTAGAAAGTTTTCAGAGGCTGTAACCACACAGGAGGAAGCTACTCATCTTTCTCTCACAAAGCAGCTGGTGGATTTGAACCACATGCCTTTCAGATAGCAGGGCAGGTCCTTATCACTAAACTGAATTCACCACTTTCTTAGGTAAAGGTATTTTAAAAAGTGACTCAGCTCTGCCATCTATATGTTAAGGAGAAGCAATAAAATAAGTCTCTCATAAATACAAGGTTACAACTATATTGTAACTCTATTTAATATGCTTTTTTTTTTTAAAAGAGAAAAGATAAAATCATCACCTGGGACATGCATTTTTACTTTCTAACAATAATTGAAAATGAAATATGTTCTTGAATAGAAATGGCTTAAGGAATTTATGACAGCCTTCACATATATTCCAGGTGCCTCCAAGAAGCTTTATATTGGCTGACAGAAAAAGGAAGTGCAGTGGAAAATAATGGGGGTGGGGGAGAGAAAAAGGGAAAGGTTTTAGGCTAAGAGACAACAGGGCTTTTAGAGTCATTTCTCTACTGAGATAGACAGTACTGTAATGAAAGATAAGATGCACGTTAATAGACTTCAGGGAAGTGTAGCTGAATGTTATCAGTTATAAATATTAACAGACATGTCATGAAATTAAATTACAACACCAACAGAAGATTAAGAGTAAAGACCAATACAGAAAAGGGCACAGTCCCTCACAAGCAGTACCTTATGATTCCTCCTATGTTTGGGTAGAAACAGGCCATGAGTACTCCAGCTCCCACAATAATTAGATTAAGAGACAGCACGTGGAAAATGCTAGAAGTTGAGAAGTTTGCAAGAAAAACATAATATAAAATCAGGCAAATTTATAAGCACTAACATGAGAATAAAACTTATTAACACCTTCAAAACAAACATTTCTGAAACTTGATAACGAAGTCATTGCAAAATGAAAAGAAAACAACAATATGTAAGGCTGACAATGAGGCAGTGAAATAGGGGGTTTTTTTTGCAACTTTATAAATAAATTAAACTCTCTAGAAGGAAACTAGCAGTGTGTATCAGAGGCTATCCTCTGTTCCACAATTTCATTTAGTATCTTAAGAAAATAATCAAACCTACAACCAGGAGAAGATAATGTAGATTAATGGGATCTTCTAAGACTCAAATCCCTATGCACATCCAAAAATTTCTCCAACAGGGTAAAAAGG